AGCTTCCTATGTTCCTGTATAGTATAGTTCTATGCAGGTTTTCATTTTACATGCATTGTAATGAAGCGGCACATACCTCAAATGCTCTTGAAGGTCTTTCACAGCTACCTTTGCAAAGAACCACTTGGAATAGTTTTGTAGGGAACAGACTGTAGCTGCAGCTGGTCTGATTAAGGGACTGTGCAGAACTGCACTGTTCAAGAATACAAGAGAAAGAAGTATGACTCATGGGCAAACCTGTCTCCCTGCTTCTTATGTTATCCACCCTGGGTGGATGGTGTGGAATCAATGGCTTGCGCTCAGGGTAAGCAGTTGTAAAGGAGGACAAATTTTTCTACCTTTAAAGAGTCCTGTGAGAGATGGGATTTTTGACAGAAGTGAAAAAACTAGTCCCTGTTGAAATGGCTTCGTCTACACAACACAAATTTGTCTTGACTTAATTCGGAATTGGATTTTCATTTACTAACTGTCTTGCAGAATATGGAGAAAAGCTCATTTGTTCCCTGAGAAACTCTCCCAGCGTATGATGATGGCACATGCATGCTGTATGCATGCACATTTAATTACTTAAAATAATTAATTTCTAGACCGCTTACAAATTTTGAAGCAGTTTACAATAATCTAGAACAGGATTCTAGACTAGATGGGCCATTGGCCTCACCCAGCAAGCTCTTCTTTTCATGCAAGTCTAAAACAGGGGGGGGGCAACTCCCAAAAGACTTACAGAATTAAAAACTGGCAGTGATCTACCCCCGATTTTGGGGGGTTCAGGTCAAAGTTGTTGAGCTTTTTTTATGGAGGAGCCCTGTTTTTTAAGGGTTTTGGGGGGGAATTGCTGGGGAAACAAACAGCCTCACTGAGTAAACTCTGTCTTCTGTTCTGCAGATCGTGCAGCAGTGGAGGATGGGGCAAGAGGGCAGGGACAGGTTCGATTTTACCAACGCTAAGGAAAGGGACCCAGCGATCAACTGCGATCTACCAAAACCTCCCAGGGATCTATCAGTAGCTCACAATCGACCTGTTGGACACCCCTGGTCTAAAACATACATTAAAACAATATATAGCCACAAATATCCACAATATCAAATTACTGAGAATTAATGATCTATAAACTAAGCAAGCATCCAAAACACACTACAGTTGATGCCTCCCAATTAACCAGGTGGGGAGAGCATTCCAAAAGTAGGTGCCACCACAGAGAAGGCCCATTTCCACTTCGCCACTAGATGACACTCTGCAGGTCACAGCATGACCAAAACACCCTTTCCTGAAGAGAGTCACTTGTAAATATAAACTTCCACACTTTACACAAAACACACATGAAGGTTTTTGATCCAGATTTTGATTTTGCAGGAAATGACTGGGAAATTGGCTCATATGGAGAAGTTAATCACCAAATGGCTGCTTAGTTTGGCAACACAGTTTGGCCACACAGCTGTCTATGAGAGTTTCACCAAAGGTTAAAGAGTTAACACTAAAGAATATATATATATATGTGCGCAACTGCCTTTGTATTTTGCATAGATTCACAGTGATCATCAAGATTAAGGGGCAAAAGGAAGGACGTTTGTGCATATATCTGCAAAGCAGCCTGGTCAAATAATAACTACTCAGGCAAATTATGCTTGACCTGTGACACAGCTGAGCACGACCAGCTAGACAAATTCATATTACAGATGCAGTGATTGTGAACAAACTTTGGCATGATCACCTGACAGATACAACTGGGCAGTAGACCAAGCACACAAAACAACTCTCCATACCACTAATGCCCTACCCTTGACTTCTGGTTTTCATTTTTACCACTCCCTGGGAATAATTCACGTAGCTGGGTTGAGATTCAAAAAGCCTTACTCAAAAGAGCAATCAGGAGCCAGGCCAATGGAAGTGTTGTATACAGTCCTCCCACCCCCACCTCCAGCACTGTTGTGATAAATCTTAAGCCTTGTGAGTCAATACAAGAGAGAAAGAGATGTGTTCTGTACGGAGATGGAATTGCCAGCAGAACATTCTTGCTTAATCCAAATGTGTCATGTCTTGACATAATTAGACAATTTAATCTTGGTGTCAGATCGCAAAACTGGCACAAGAGCAATAGGGCATATCTTTAATTTTTAAACAAACTCTGCAGGGTTTCCTTGAAGCTCCGTAAACACCATAAATTGGCTCATCTATCAAGAGCCATGTTCCCAGTGTCTTACACAAGCCTCCTACCAGAACAGCTGTATAAATCTCTACCGATCCAACATTCCTACTCCTATTGAGGTCCCTGGAGATAAACTGTTGTCATCTTTGTTTTCTGTCAATTATTTGATAACTTTGCATGTTCACCGGAAGGGCATAGACATGACAACTGATAGCTGTAGACAAGGATGCTTCCAGGTAAGATGAAGAGACTATGACATGCACTGGCAATGTGATAGGAAGCTAATGCTCCACAGAGAAGCAATGATGAATACTTCAGTCTCTGCCATCACTTACCTCATAACCCATTAGGGAACAAAAAGGGTACAGCCATTTATTCTTGTTTCAGTTCAAGGTTTTTTTTTTTTTGTTAGGTGCTGTTTCCTAAGCAGCAGCAACAGCAGCAGCAGCAGCAGCAGCAGCAGCAGCATGTCCTGTTTTGCCTCTTGAGGAGAAATGGGAAGTGCCACTGGTGGAGAAATCGATACTGATTTCCAGAGAGATCACACCAATTTCCAGTGAGATCTCACTGAAATTTCGTGAGATCATCGTACCCCACAATATCTCATGAGATTTTGGCAAGAACTTGCTGGAAATCAGCACCAATGCTGCACTGCTTCTCTGCTAGTGGATGCAACAGGGCCGGTAGGGCACTCACAGGAGTACCGTCTCAAGGGTTTCCACCACCTGAGACGGCAGCTTCACTCCACTTCATGGGTGGGCCGGGCCTGTTCCTACAGATCTTTCCACTCCAGCAAGGCTGGTGTTAAGGCAACTGTTGGGCACCTGCTGAAGGCCACAGTCCCACAGGGGGCACACCCCCAAAGCCCCCTGCCCCTGCTTGCTCTTGTTGTTGCTGCCTGTTCATCACCTGCTCACTTTCTGAAGAGGCACACAGTGACAAGGGTGAGAAGGTAGAGTGGTGCTCCTCATTTGAAGAAGGTTTTAAGCAGACACCAAAAAGAAAATGTTTCAATGGTCATGCTGCTGTGGCTGCTACTCTTCCCACTCAACCCCTTGCTTCACCATGACTAGATGTGGACTCCCATCCAGAAATGGGAAAGAATGAATGAAAATATAAAGGAATCAATAATTGAAAGCACTAAGAAGAAATAAACAAAAGAGGCTCAATAAATGGCAAGGCATTACTATGGAGAATAGCATTGCTGCTGTTTGGAACTATTATTATTGTTTTAAAAAACCATTCCACAAGTACTTCTGCATTGGAATTGCCTCCATTTTAATTGAACATTTTCAGTCTTCTCCCCTTACATGTGTAGTTCTGTGGAAAGGCCTGGTACAATTTAACTGCTTCTGAAATGATAACTCTGCTTATGAAACACTACCTCTTTGGCCTTCTCCTTTGCCATCTGTTTTCTTTCTTAGCTTGCTCCATGCCTGCCAGCTTTTGTGATTTTGTTAGGAGCCTTCAGCATGTAGGTTTCTTTCCCTTTCTCAGCTGAAATCCCCAGAGTCTCATATTTTCTCTTGAAGTGTGCCTTTTCAGCCCTTAAGTTTGAAAACACAAGTGGCAGCCTCTGAACACCCAAAAGCAAATATAATGACCCTGATCCACAGAAAGTTAGTTCTGGTGGTCCCACTGAAGTTGGTGGGACTTCACTGATTTTTTTCCTCTGGATTGGGGCCAAGGTACTGTAAAACACAATTTTTCTTACCAAACCCCCCTCAAATGTTTTAATGATCATCATCACTATCATCAGATAATTGCTTTACCCACCCTTCAGTATGAAGGGCTGATCCACGCTTTACATTTCGAACTCATGGATGACCAACATCCAAGTTCAAGTGGCAAAAATAGCAACAACACCCTACAATGTGGTACTATGAATTGTGAATGGCACGTGAGTATTTAAATGTCCGTTTACTAATGCACTCAACACTAATGGCTTTGGCCCAGAGCAAAGGACTGGGCTAAAATTCTGTGCTTCTTGCATGGAAAATGCAGCCATTTAAATATGTGTGTGCCATTCACAAATGATGCAACTGGATGTGGTTTCTTTTGCCATTTGAACTTGGGCATTTTTGTACTTGAGTTCAAAACAGAAATGCTCCAGCAAGCCTCATCACTTCTAGATCACCTGTCTACTGACTATTTTTCAAGTTTCGTTTGCACAAAGTTTTCAGGAAGGATATGCAAAGTTGGCTACTTTTTGAGCACTTGTTCTGATTTTTTTCACATTACATTGAGCAATTGTTATCTCACACTTTCCACTGTTTTCCACTCACTTTGCTGATTGGGAAAAGCCTGAATTTTGGAGGAAGTTGGTTCGTTGTGCAAGACAACCAAATCCACTTCAACTGTGCAATCTGAATTCCTGGTTTGTGATTGAATACTATCTACAGAATAGCAAAAGCCTGGACATGCCCTTAGTTGCAAACATTAACTCCAACAAAACTTAGGTGCCATTTACGAGTTGCAATAGTGCTGTGGTCACTGCTTTATCACAAGTTCATTCCATGGGTACCTGCTGTAAAATTTAAACACTGGCAACCAGATTTTGTGTTTATGTGCGTGCCAGTTCTGAGAGCCTTTCCCACCACAGTACTAAAGAGCTTTAGAAGTTATAGCAGATTTATGGGCTGATACTATGAAAACATAGCTCCCACAGCGAAAATATGATGAGCAGAGCTAAAACCAAGGAGATTTAAGTGAAGTCTTCTGTTGATTTAAAGGCACCTAACTTATTCTGGATTAAATCCTGTGTAGGTGAAATATTATTCAACAGTCCATTTAAATATGGATTTACAAACTTGAGAAACATGCCAAAGTTGATTTTGGACAAAATAAAGTTTACCTGTTTGTTGCCCAGTGGTCACAGGTATTACTTTGTATGGCGTTCTGCAAGAGACAAAAGGGAAGTTAAAGCATGCATTTTCAAATGATGCAAGCGTCATGAAACATGGGAAGAAGGGCTGCTTGTAGAACTGCTTATGTTCGAAATTTAATTAGGGAAAAGAACATACATTTCGCAAAGACCTTCCCGCTTGAGTGTCACAGGCTCTTGGCTGTGTTCAAGCAGTGTTGACAACACATGCAGCCACACAAACATGAATTGATCACTGCAGCACATTCCCTGTTTGAGCACAAGGAATAGACTGGGAAGAAAATGGTGAATAAAACTCGCAGCATAAGCAACTGCAGTGGGGCAGGGGAAGTAACACGACCAGAGCAGATCGTAAGAAGCCTGGGAAAATTATGAAGAGCTTTGGGAAAAGAAGAGCCTTGGGCTATGCATTAATGAGTACACACCTCCAAAAGTGTCTGTGTACAGAATAATGTTTTGGTTTGCTTCTCTTAGTAGAAGGAGGATTAGGAAATGTGAGTCTCCAGAGGAAACTGAGTGGGACGGAAAAAAGCATTTTCACATTAACTGGGGTTTTTTTTGCAACATTTTGTTCCACAGATATATGCTCTAATAATCCAGTCTAATCTAACCACACATGCTGTAATCATGCATATAATTTTAAGGAAAAAATAAATAAAGGAACCTGTATTAGTTTTAGGTCACTTACAGATAAATTGTTAACAACAAATGAGCATTTGTCCTGATTTGGTTGCACAGACTTTGTGGGGAGGTGAGATGGTATTGGCACTTGGTTGAGCATTCATTTTGATTTGTTAGCAGTGAGGTTACACAGCGTGGTATCAAGCAATTCTTATCCCACATTTTCCAGTGTATTTCCAGTGTAATCACTTTCCTTATTGCATGTGACTGTTGCTATTTTGGGACGAGATTTGATCTGGGGAAAAACTCTTAGTAAATGTTTGCTGTCTTCCATTGCATTCTCTGTGTCTTACATACAAAAATAAAATAATAAAATAAAATACAACTGATAAGTAATAGCATTATTCTTCTGGACTTGTTTTGTTTATAGGAAAACATACATACCTTTCTGAGTTTGCTGGCATGGTAGGATCAATGGACACCATGCAGTCATCTACTGTGAAAAGTGAAATGGTTGTATTCCTGGAAAACAATGTTTAAAGCTATGTTTATTTAACCAGTCTCTTGTGCCACCTCGTCCACTTAATTGCAAGTTACTATCTTTGTTTTGACAAATCAAGCAAATGTTGCAACCTGGGAGAAAGAAAGAAAATGGCTAAGATTATTTAAGAGAAGAACAAAAACTAGTTTGGGAGTGCCCAAGTAAAACTACGCCCTACAGGCCTCATCTACATAAACAAGAACCCTGACCATTCAAGAGTTCTTGATTGTGTGGAAGAGGCATATGCATGTACAGGCAGTCCCTCATTTAAGCACATTCAATATGTGCAGCAAACCTGGAAGTGACCCAGAAATGTCATAAAGACATCACTGAAATGTCACTAAAAGAGGGCAGGGGCGGAACGGGGTGTTTCCGGGCTTTTTTAATGGGTTTCAATCATACTCGATTTCACCAAAGTGTGCGTTGCCTCGGAATGCAACCCCTGCATAAACTGGGGGCTACCTGTACATCTAGATGCATATAGCCTGCCTTCTGCACTAGCACTGAATGCATGGCTGCTGGGAGTGTGGCTACTCCACAAGCGGCACATGGCTTGTGAACGTGCTCCTATTACCCCTTCCTGCAGTTGTTGACTGTATCACGGTTCATCTGTATGCTTCTAGTGACATGGATAGAAATGCGAAGGTAGAATTAATATGTAGTGAGCAAAGATATATATCCAATGAGATAGTCTGGTTCATTACATGGAGCATTCCTGCTGCAAAATTCTGAAATGGGCATATGCTGTCTCTTTGATACTTGTCATAAACAGTGATACCTTTTGCATTGCTTTGTTACTCTGAGCTCTCTCTCTCTTATGATACAGGAAGTGGTGAAAGAGGAAACACAGGTGACTCGTATCTTTTTTCACGTTTCCCTGTAATGTGCAGTGAGTAAGCTTGAAGCTTTTTCTTTCCTTGCTTCCTATAACAGGCAGAAGAGGTCTTCTCAGAGGGATAGGCAACTAAGGGTTAAAGTGGTCTCGGGTCACCCCAGCTGGCCTCAAAGAGAGCTCCAATCCTGACCCTCACTTATTATGAAACTTAGCTGCTTTCTCCTATGCACATTCCTATCAGTAATAAACAAGGACAAAGGTTTCTTCAGCTTCTTTCAGTTTCACTGCATCTGCATTGCCTGTTCATGTGTAAGCCTGCTTCTAAGAGGCAAAACTTCATTTCTTATAAAAAATCTATACCACCAAGGTCAGACATTACTGCAGTTGTTTTAGTATGGATAATTTCCCAGTCCCTGCTAGCACCTTTTCTAGCACATTCCAGAATGCTTCATCACGATGCATTTATTTACAAAATGCCAAAGGTATGTCTGACATTGCAGGTGAGCCCTGATCCCTGTCTGACATGTGAATACAAGAGAAGGAAGCAGAAAAATCAAAGGTGGCTCCTTGAGATTATTTGCTTCTCTATTTTCACACGGCATGAGTTTCCTTACATCAGACTCTCAGTGTTTTGCCACTTGCATCTCTACGGGGTTTAATGTTCTGGATAGAGAGATACTGTGATCTGGAACAGATTCCACTTGCCCTATATAGTGGCTTTCATGTAGGGAGGGTGTTCTGGGATGCCAGTCAGATCTCTTTCACATTTAAAACAACAGATTGAGCATCTGCGCATTTGGGAATTGATGGCATTATGACTATTTTCTCTGGCACTTGCAGGGTCTCCAGAGAGGAGTGTATTTGAGCATATGCTGAGCATCTTTCTCTTGCTACATCCAACCCATGCATATCTAGGACAGGGGGACCTGTTTTCTGGGTCAAATATTGCTCACAATTGCCAGGCAGGTTAATCCTGGCATCTCTGAGTTGACGAACTGAAATAAAACATTGAATCCATGTTTGTGAGAAAAATGAATTTCTTCCTGAAAGGCTTAGATGGCTAACTAAAACCTCTAAGGCAACATAGCACAGGTTGGTGATGTGCTTTGACCTACATTGATGGAAGCAGAGAGCAGGCACACACAGCAGCAACAGTGAGGAACGTTGACTTGATTGCACTGCAGACTTACAAGGCTCTACTTATTAATGCAAGGGCAATTTATGAATGGTTAACATGGGTGACTGTGAACAGCACATGTCTTAAGACAGGGCCGGCTGTACCACGAGGCAGAACGAGACAGCTAATTCTGAGAGGTGGAAAGTGACTAGAAAGATGTGCCACATTGTCTGCCCTGCAGCCCTAGTAGAGTGTCTTGGACACTCACCCTAGAGTGTCTTGAACACTCACAAAAAAGCAGACATTCCTGCACAGTGGCTACACTGCCTTTCCTCCCTCCTCAGCGGTGGCAGATCTTACCTCAGGCGCCAAAAGTTCTCTGGCTGGCCCTACCTTAAGGACATTAGAAGAGCACTGATAATCTAGTCACCTGCTTGATTCTATAACAACATTATTAGTCATTTAGAAAACCGTATGTTACTTATTAACATTTTACATACTGTTTATCAATGAGTCTTTAAGATAAAGTATGACGCATTTCTAACTGGATGATCCAACCCTCAAAAGGTTGCATCAGTGCATGTTCTGTTGAAGTGAACAGTAGCGGATGGCATGGGAGAGGCTAAATTGCTCACCCTTCAGCTGGGTCACTGCTCCACACCAGGGTGGAAATGGGGAGGAATGGGGTGGTTCTGTCAACCTTGTCGCCTCCTTGTCATCCCCAGTCTTGGTATCCAGCAGTAATTCGGCTGGGGAGTAAGCAGTGCAGCCCTACTGTGCCATCTGCTATTGCTTGTGCCACTCTAAATACAGGGATGTGAGCCACATAAGCCAGCATTGCTGTCCAAAGAGCATGATGGTGGCACAGGCCAGATCAGCAACCACATCTAAAGGAAGTCGATGGCTGACTTCTGTTGATGTCAGTAGTGATGGATGGCACTGTATCCCACTTCTGTGCACATTGTTGAGAAGATGGAGAGATGTTTGAGAGCCAACAGAAGTAAGAGAACTATGTGATGGTGCTATGTCCTTGATATCCAAAATAAGGTCCAGGCTTAGTTCTCATTTCAGAAGATGAAAATAACGTTCCTGCTCTCAGAGAGGGAATTTTTTTGTCTCACCCCTGCTTTTGTGCTTGAGAGAGAGATTTAAATTTATTTACTTATTTCACAACTTTTATATAACACTTGATTATAATAAAAATGGCAATGTTGGTTTCTCTCAAGGGGAGTAGGCAGACACATGAGCAGGAACAAGACAGTCCAGACAGGACCAGCACAGCCATTAGGTGGGTTGCGGCCACTGCCTCAGATGGTGGAAGCCCACAAGGTGTCACTCATTTGCCCCACCTTCTCTGCCACCGGTGGTGAAGCGGCACTGAAAACATGTGAGATCTTGTGGAATGTGAGAGATCTTGCATGTTTTTAGTGAGATCTCATGAGAAATTAGCACCATCTCACCCCAAATCAGCGCTTATGCCACTGCCACTTCTCCACCAGTGGTGGAGCAGGCAGGGATGAATGAACTGGAGGAACCTGTAACAGCCGGGAGACGAGAGTTACGAGGCAGGAGAAGCTGCAGGATTGGATAGTGAATAAGAGGGAGAGAGGGCATTGTTCTAATTTTAAAGTTATTCCAAACCATAATACCAGAAGCTCAGATAGAATGCATATTACTGAACATGAAAGTTACAAACATGTCTAAGATCCAGAGTCAAGAGTTGCTTCCAGGATGTCAGTGTTTTGCGGGAGGGATTGAATCGCATTCTGGAAATGTAGATTTGTGCATAAACATGAATTAAAGCACTCTGGTGCAACAGAGCCACTTTACTCCCCACCCAACTTTTTGTGGTTACAAAAGTGAGAGGCAAATGTACTAAAAAGTGTGGGATAGACAACTGATTAGTGGGAAGACATATAACCTCCATAAAAGCAAATCAGAACAAATGCTCCATAAAGGTCAAACATTGCATAATCTCCATGTAAACTTTGTGCAGGCAAACAGGGTGAATGCTCAGTTAACAGGTCATCTGGAGGAGCTCAAGGAAGGTATAAAAGGCAGGAAGGGCTCCTTTGAAAAGCATCCATAATAGCACCCAAGTGGTGGAGCTGTCACTCCCATCAGGTGCATTTGACTCCTTACCTCCTTTCCTTTCAAGCATGCAGTAAAGGTGCTTCTGTTTTGCTTCTGGTTCTTTGCAGTTATTTGTATATTCATTTAACATTTTGTAAGAGGATGATATACGGGACGCAGGTGGCGCTGTGGTCTAAACCACTGAGCCTAGGGCTTGCCTATCGGAAGGTTGGCGGTTTGAATCCCCGCGATGGGGTGAGCTCCCGTTGCTGGGTCCCTGCTCCTGCCAACCTAGCAGTTCGAAAGCACGTCAAAGTGCAAGTAGATAAATAGGTACCACTCCGGCGGGAAGCTAAACGGTGTTTCCGTGTGCTGCTCTGGTTTCGCCAGAAGCGGCTCAGTCATGCTGGCCACATGACCCGGAAAAACTGTCTGCGGACAAACGTCGGCTCCCTCGGCCAGTAAAGCGAGATGAGCGCCACAACCCCAGAGTCGTTCACGACTGGACTTAACTGTCAGGGGTCCTTTACCTTTACTTTTAAGAGGATGGTATAAAAATGTTTTTATATAAATATAAATAAATGAATGTATTGGATTGCTGTATATTATATACTTGATTGTTTTATTCTGTTTTATCTTTCATGTTTGTGCTTGTAGACAATAGCAAGACACTTAAATTTAATGACAAATTTGATCTCTTTATCATATTTTCAGCATTTAGATGAACTTCTCTTCCTGCTTTTTGACATCATGCTATTATCCCAATGGACATTTGCTCAGAGCTGTATCAGGAGTTTGGTCTCCTTGGAGTTTTATGCAGGTATGTTGTTCTATTTGTGGTTGTTACTTAGATGTTTTTTGCTTGTGGGTACCATTTTTGAGACCAAAGGGAGAAGATTACAGTGTTTTCAAATGAAACAAACAAAGCGAATATATTTACATTATATTTTCCATGCTGTAATTTCATTGTGAGATTCCTATTTTCTTCCTTATTATGAAAAGGCCATAGCTAGCAAGATACCCAACCAATTCACACTCATAGTAGTGCTCAGAATACTCATACTCGGGGTCACTCTAAGCCCTTTGGAAAAGTAACACAAGTAGCATTCATAAAAAACAGAACTGCGTTGGAAAAATATTTACCTTGGTAAACCAGTTGCAATACAGAAGAGTTCCATGATATCTCTTGAGTTACAGTATTTACTGAAGGCCACCTTCCAAAGGAAATAGAAGCAATTAAGAGAAAATGAAGAAAGAGAACTTCCAAAGGCAATCTTATTCTATACCCTGTAGATAAAGCATTAATTTACCTAACATTTTTTCATTTATTTGATTTTTCATAAGACTGAATATAATATGGTTCCTATTCTTTACTCTTGCAAGCCTTTCAAGTTCTTTTATATGGTTATGTCTGAGAAGAGAAGAAGTAAACATAGGGCAGTTTGATAATCCAAGCCAAACTTTAGAAATAACATTAATAGGAGAGTAAAGTTGATGAAATTGTCATTAAGTTGGTGCATCTGAGCCACACCAACTTGAATTGCATAATTTGCCTGTGCACACAAGCTGGACACAGTAAACTGCTAGAGGACACAGAAGCAATCTGTAATTTTTGCAAGTTGGTTTTTATCTATGCAATAAATAAACAAAATCATTTTATTTCATATAGGCTCACAAAAAAGCACCAGTGACAGACAAGGCAGTGTTTTTGTGATATAGATTAGCCCCACCAGAGATATCAGGCCACTAACTCAGTCCTTTTGTTCCCAGAAGATTTGAAGCCTATGTGTAAAGTGAAGCCATGCTGAAGAGGGAAATTGCATGAAAGAGTTTGAAAGATCAGTCAATCCTGAGGCAGAAGTGTTTAGCCTGAGAAAAGGAGACGGATGGATCAGTCCAATGACCCATCTATTCCAACATATTGTTCTCATGGTAGCCAACCAGATGCCTGGGAGAAGCCGACAAGCAAGACCTGAGTGGAACAGAGATCTCCCCTCGTGTGATTCTCGGGAACTGGCAGTCAGAGGCTTAGTGGAGAAGATCGCCAATAAAAAACTAGTTAAGATTCTGAGGTTAAAAAAAAGTTGAGGGTTGTATGTGCTGCCAAGAAACAGCAGTGCTGCTATAGCTGCTATGAAAAGGGAAGTACCTATAGCCTTGAAGGGGATTTAGCAGTGCTATTTTTCTAGGGGGGAAAGTGCCATGAACACGTCCCTGTTTCTCTTATAATGGCAATGGCACTTACATGACAGGTGCCAGAACTCACCTGAGAGGTGCGGGAACTGAGTTCTGGTAAGTTCCCCCTGAAAAAAAGCCCTGGGTTCAACATTATAATACTTCTGTACTGGATCAGGCCTCAAAAGTGTGTGGAGTGTGTGGGTGGTGAGGAAGGTGAGTCACTGAGAAGTTCAGGAGAGAACATTATAATTAAAAATCAGTCTTTCTGAAGCTATCTACAGACATTTGCTCTGGAGCTTTTGTGACAGTCCAGTCCCCATTTTAGGCAGAATTTGCTATCCAGAGGCACTAAGCAGAGAAGGCTTAAAAATATAAAAACATTTCCCTTCCTGTCTCCACATGCCTCTCAAAATGTCTTACCATTCTCTGTAATTTCTTCTCTCATTCTTCTTTCACCCTCAATTTGTAACTTATTCCCCCTTCCCCCTAAACAAACCATTCCTCCTCCCAGGTCCTTTTACATTCTTTTCCTTCTCCCATAATAGCTTTCGCCTCTTATCCCCTTTTCTATTCCAAGTTTAATTATTATCAATATCATATTATAATTTAATATTAAACTTTTATCTCATGTTCCAATTTCCTTCAACACCTCCTCTCACCCTTCCCCCTCAGAGGAGAAACACAGGATAAACTTGTTAAGAAGCTAAACGAGAACAATAGCAGTGACATCTTGTGCCTGCCTGAACACATTCCTTTCATTCCCATTAAAACATTTCTGATGTAAAAATAAATAAATAAATAAATAAAAGCTCACACGGGCTTCATTTTTAAAAATCAATTTATTCAGGACAGCCCATCTCTCAGGGGCGCATCTTTCTCAACAGAAGGTGGTTTTTAAAAAGCAAAACCCCATTTTCAACAAATGGGCTGTTCTGGTTGTTACAGAGGCAGGTTTTTGATATTTCCTATCTAGCTACAGTCATAGAAACAAAGAAATGTTTTATTTTTCTTTAAATAACTCAAATACAAATCTTCCTGCAATCATAGCAGAAGGAAACATCCCAGCAGACAGTGGTCTGTGGGACTGACAGAGCAAATGAATAGACAGACCGAATCTTACCAATCTGCTAATGGCTGATGGATGCAATAAATTGGGATCTGATGTTATTGCTGTTGAACTTAGAATGAACTTCTGAAATGTGCTGGGCCACTGAGCCTTGAAATCAATTACCATTGAACAGAATTAATGCAATATAAGTGGGATATGGTAATATAATTGGGAACAAATGAAAGTCAGATAGTTATCCTGGTTAATTAAGACCAAAACTGGAGGACATAATAAACTTAGCATCTGTTTTTCTTTCCCCAAGCATTCAGAGGCGAGAGCTAAGCCAAATCAAGGCATGTAATAAATATATGTGATGCTACAGTGCAGTTTAATGAAAGTTCATTTGCCTTATCCTACCCTGGGGTTTTGCAAATGGCGCAGGTAAGCAGCATGATTCATAAAGCAATTGATAAGCACCTCAGGATATGAACTGCATAATTATTATTATTACTTTTAAATAATAGCAATCTGCTGTAAAGGGGCTGTTATATTCCCAAAAAGGAAGCACCCACCTGGAAAGGTTGCTGTGCTACTTTCAGTACATAGCTGACCCCAAAGAAAAATAAAGCCTTGCAACTTCTTTTCAAAATCAGCATCTACACTGCAGACTGGTCTAGGAAGTGTGAACCACAATCAGAGGTGGACTTGGGTAATTTTTCATAATATGGCGCCCTAAGCACATGAAGTTATCAAGTGACCATTGGGAGGGACACACAACTGGCCCCACCTCCTGCGTCATTCAGCTGGGCTCTGCCCAATCCCCTAGTGTTTGCAATTAAGTGTAGGCATCTAATGAGCTGCCCCTACAAGCATAAGTGCTCCATACAACCAGGACCCATTAGCACAGTCATCCTTGTCAGATGTCTACAACTCAGTGCATTGGGGCAGGACTAATCCAGATGGACAACACTGGAAGCTGGGCAGGTGACACGGTTCTTCTCCCTGTTCAGTGTAGACCCACTTTATATGTATAGCTCCCAATGCACCGTATTTTTCGCACTATAGGATGCACCCGACCATAGGACGCACCTTGTTTTAGAGGGGGAGAACAAGGGGGGGGGGATTCTCCCCCTCTCTGCTCAGCGCCCCTTCAGCGAAGCGGCAGGAGAAACGGAGCCCCTTCCATTTCTCCTCCTGCTTCGCTGAAGGGGTACTGTGCAGCTCTCCCTCTCTGCTGAAGCCAGGAGAGTCTTGCTCTCCCGGCTTCAGCAAAAGGAACCCGAAGCCTTTGGAGCGCAGCGCGAGGTCCCGCTGTCCTCCAAAGGCTGCAGGTGGCTATCCCTGAAGCCTGGAGAGCGAGAGCAACGCATAGCCTCTGAAGCGCGGAGGGAGCGCTCCCTCTGCGCTTCGGAGGCTTCACGTTGCTATCGCTGAAGCCAAGGAGCCTGCATTCGCTCCATAGGATGCGCACACATTTCCCCTTAATTTTTGGAGGGGAAAAAGTGCATCCTATAGAGTGAAAATTACGGTAGTTAAAAAGTTGTTCCTTGACCCTTTCAGAAGGGAATCTCAGAAATCCACTCCACAGCTTCCTCATGTTTCCTACTTAGAAACAGGATACACAGAACAGCTTTGTCATGCAAACAGAAGAGAGACTGGCATGTCCTTTTGCATTCTGGGTTCACACGCAAGTAAGAAACTCTTGCATCTCTGCATCTTACAGCTGCAGACGTGTGGGGGCACTTGTATCTGCAGTCTGTGTGTGTTCTTGAAGAAATGCTGCCTACATTCCCCTTTTGCATTCGCCTTTCCCATGGCATTTTTGCAATCTGCCAATTACTCACATAAGGATTTTTTAAATTATCATTTATACACTCATTGCCTCTTTAAGCTTGCAAATAGGCTGGAAATGGGAAGGGAACGTGCTGCACATCTCCAGGCAACTTAAGAGCATTTTACTGGTTTGGAGAGACAATACATTTCAGTTTTTACTGGTTAAGATTATTCATGTGCCCAGCCTTGGAAACATTGCCTCCATTTTCACTGAGCTACATATGCCCTAAATTGTTGTTGCATTCCTTATGTGGTCCCTGATTGTTTAGGATCACTCTAGTCATAAAACTCTAATTAAATGTCACCAAACCCCAAACCTGTTTTGCAGATGGAAAACTGATATTTCCATTTCAAACACTCCAAAACAGTTAATGAAAACTTGTGCTGATTTTGACTGAGATAATACATAATTCTGATCAGAAGTCTAATTCTGAACTTGAACTGAGCCTAGGTCAGGATTTGGACCTGTAGCTTCTGTCTGCCCATTTTTAATTTTTAGAAATAGGAACTACTTCTATATTGATAATATATTTTCTGTTTTTCTATCTTTTCTAGAAGAGGGTTTATCTAATTCAAGATATCCAGACTGGAAACTATTGAACAGTATGGCTCTAATAGGTGCTTGACAAGATGAGATGAGCATCATTATCATCACATCCTGCTTCCAAACATTTTTGAGGCATCTGCAGCTACTTTTAGTTGTGCTGTTGAGCTACAACAAGTGTTGACCTGAACTACTTCAGCAATTCTATCACTAGCCAACATGCTACAGCGTAGATAAGTTGGCCCAAAATAATTATTTTGAACTAACATTTTGTCCTTTGCTCATCTCCCCCAGCTACCTCCAGCTGCATTCAATATTTACCATAGCCTTTTGAAATAGCCATGCTGCTATCACTTGTTATTCCTTGAAAACATCAAATACCTAAAGCATCACATTGTTTAATTCAGTTTTAATCACACCAAAAATATGCCTTTGAAGCAGGGCTGGCTCAAACCACAAAATGACACACGCACCCTGCCGCCCACCAGGGAAGATCTACATCAGAAAAAGAGGCAGAGTGAAGATCAACACTGCGGATCAAATCAACCTTACTTGATGGCTGAACTGGGAATCAAAGGCTGTAGCAAGGGGAAAGGGGTTTTCTTTTAATC